GTTTCCTTAACCTAAGGTCTTTCTGAGCTCTAAATATTAGGATTCTTTTAAATACATATCCTCCATTGTAACATCTTAGTTTTCCTAAAAATATTTTGTTCCAGTAATTCTAATATATCCTTGAGCCATGGTAAAATATTAATCAAATAAAAGAATGTAGGATTCTCAAATATTGAGCGGCAATCTCGAAATCTTAAAAGGTAATCTTGCCCTTAATCACAGAAACACAGTAATTTTAAAGAAAACCCACAGGGGCACAAAACTAGAATATAAAAAGAAATAAAAGCAACATCTCAGCAGTTATTCAGATAATGTGCTGTTACTGAAGAAGACCATGACCACTCCTTGATTTCAATTTCACACATGAGGCAGCCCCAAAACCAAAAATAATTCACATCTATTTTTGATGCTGCACTGTCTAGATTTCCTCTTGGAGTAGAGTTCCATAAAGCATATAGAGCCCCTTGAGATTTAGAAAAGTTCAAATAATCAAAATTTGTCGAATAAATCCATATTTACTCATTCAAATATTTTGTGAGTTCAAATAAGCAAGATTTTGAGATAAAACGATGTTTGCTTCTTTAAAAACTAATCTGCTCTAAACATTTATACAGAACCGTCAAACTCTTAATATTATAGTACAGGGGCCCCAACCCCTGGACCAGTACCAGTTCATGGCCTGTGAGGAACCAGGCAGCACACCAGGTGATTGGCGGGCGAGCCAGTGAAGCTTCTTCTGTATTTGCAGCCGCTCCCCAGAACTATCATCACTGCCTCAGCTCCACCTCAGATCATCACACATTAGATTCTCATAGGTGCACCAGTCCCTGGTGCAAAAAAGGTTGGGGACCACCATTATAGGAAACTAAATGACAAATCTAGAATCTGATTCAAACATATATTCCTAATAACTTGGGTATTTATCATACTTTTGCTGGCTTTGGACAGAAAGCTAGTACCACTATAGACCCAATGCAATGGTTTGTCTCTATCATAAATTCTCTCCATCATAAAGAAGCATAATATACAATCAAAGACAAAACTGGCAATACCAAACTTAAAGCAATTACCCAAGTTTTGCTACCTAAGCAACAGGCCATTAAACAAGTCAAACCAGGGGAGGGGAAAGCGTACACCTTTTCATTGGTTAGTGGACAAAAGGGTGTATATTCAATTAATGCTTGTCTGAGTGTCACCTATACCCAGCACTGTGCTGGAGTTGATGAGAGACAGAAAGGTAGTAAATATACAATCTTTGCCTCATCTTTTCAGTAAGATAAGGTACCATAAATGAAACATTTAGAGAACAAGACAAGTCAGTGTCAATCTGTGAACCGAAAATAATAAATTCTATCAATTCTGAGAGAACAAAATAGAATAGAAAGGGATTAAGAACCAGGAACCACACCAATTAAGATTCAGAATAAGACTTCTTGAATCCACCTCCATTTAAAAGAATTTTAATCCCAATTGTCATTAACCACATATGTAACCTAAGTCACTTCCCTCATTTCCAATTAGGTCAGTTTCCTCTTCTGCAAAGTGAGGATGAGATTCAAAGAGGAGTTGTAGGTCACAGTCTCTAATCTGAAATGTACCTCAGAGGTTAGAGGAATGAGTAAGACTGAAATTCAGCTACAAGTACTGCATAAACATTTAGTATGGATATATGGGACACTGCCTTGTAGAGTAATTGTGCTAAGGGTGGATCTGGCCTAGTAAGATTGGGCCAGACCATGAGGAACCTGATTAAAGAATTGTGACTTGCCTCTGTGTCAGGCAATGTAACCCCTGTTAAAACTGAAATATCTTTGATAAAGAACTACAATGTGTAAAGTTGAAAGGGACGACCACAAACTATAACAGAACAATGACAGACTTAAGAAAACTTGACATTTAGTAATTCAGGATAGCTGTTGACCATCTAGGAAATGCCAACAATCAGGCTGTCATAATCAGCCTGATTTAGCAAAAGAATTACACAGTTTGATTAAGCAAAAGAATTGCACGGTTCACAATGAAAGGCAGTTCCCTCCTTAAAGAATCATCCTTGAAAATAGAAGCCACCTTCACCAACCACACGGAAAGGCATATAATACACATTTTATATCAGTCTTAGTTACAGTCACAAATTAGGGAGCAATAACAGGTTCTTCACAAAGGAAAGGAAAAATTCCAGTAGATGGTGCTAAAAATATTGACTAAGCCCCTGTACCTATACTATTTACTCAATTGAATAATGTTTTAATGGAAGGGGGTATGTTTTGTAACTTCACAACCACATTTACCAATTAGTTGAACTGTATTGCTTTGGACTCATTCTTCACACAGAATAGATGAATTTCAAAACACATGCCACTCAAGCAAAAAGTTAACCAGTACTGTAACTGGTAATGCCCCTGGCTCTAATTTACAATACTTACTACAGCAGAGTAAAAGTGGCACAAGCTGGACTTGTGATCTAGTTCAATGCAGAGTGCCATCTGCTGCACATACACAGGATGTCTCCTATGCATGATTCCACCTGAATGTCTCTCAGGGACCTTTATAAGAGCAAGTTGTTTGTGCCCATATTTGCCTAACACATGTGTCTTAAATCAATATCTTCTGTAGAAGAATTCCCATTCATGGGGTTTTGAAATAACAATACTTTCCTAAGAAACAGTAGTTAATTTATAAAGGAGGAGAGATGTAAAGGAGCAACTGCACTTTATAATCAGAACACAATAAGGGGGTTAAAATATCTGGAGTGCATTGGAGTCCTAAAACTCCATATTAGATGTATAATCCTGATCAAGTCTCTCCCATTCTAGGCCTCAATTTAAACGAATCTCTAAGAGTTACCTCTCAAATTGAGTCTTGTGAGGAAACAGTAACAGATGGAGACAGGTGTATACATGATGGCTTCAGAACAATCGCCAAAAAAGAGAGAAAAACCTTTTTACATATTTTAAATAATCGGGTACAACTTTTTTTCAAAATCCTACAACTCTAAGTCCACTTACAAGTCACCAGTCCCATAACACTTCTGCCCTTCAGAAATAACACTGTACTTTAATGGTGCTTTCAGTTACAAATTCAGCGCATCACTTTACGCACCCCGGAATCGCACAGAAGAACATTTTCAAGAAGTTACCCACACAAGGAAGATCAAAATCCTACAACTCTAAGTCCACTTACAAGTCACCAGTCCCATAACACTTCTGCCCTTCAGAAATAACACTGTACTTTAATGGTGCTTTCAGTTACAAATTCAGCGCATCACTTTACGCACCCCGGAATAGCACAGAAGAACATTTTCAAGAAGTTACCCACACAAGGAAGAAACAGCCTGACAGATTCGCATAGTGGAAAATATACAAGGCACTAATTTTAAAATGCTAAATGAATACCACACCCAAATAGTTTTAAAAACAAATTGTGCAAAGTCAGAAGATGAATTATCAAAATAGAGAGATAAAGACAACTTGTGAAGCCTTTAAGTTGTTTGAGAAAGAGGGAGGGGAATACAATGATTTTAGGGTGGCCTTATGTTTTTAAGAGAACAAAACACATAACTGGAGGCTATGAAACATGCAAATCTAAACTGAACTGTGGAAAAGCTCGGCTCTCACCCAAAAGCTTCAGCAAAGCAATATGTCAGTATGCCAAATATGAAGTATGCCAAATTTTCTCACAAGAATAGGATAGAGTCCATACTTAGGGCTAATAATGACAATACCATCTTGCATTGAGTGCATTAGTTCTTTCCATAGCTCTTTCAGACACTTAATTTTTTGCTTTCATGGGGTCTTTGGGGTATCCTCTTTGAAAACCTCCAGTTCAGCTTCCTCTCAAGAGCTATGTAATCAGAACAATACAGGTGTATGTATTTGTTGAGGGCCGGAGGTACCACTTACTTTTATCAGGCTGTCGGCAGTAATGCTCTCATTACCACACTATACAACTTAGCCCTAGGAAATAAAATCTACACTCTCTCAGAGTTGGCCAGAGACCAACATATATGGTTCTAGAAGTCCAAAGGAAGAATAGGACCTGCTGACTTGTTTGGTCAAGAACTTCATGGCAAGTTGACCTCTTACAACTGAAAAAAAATCACAGTCTCTCTCACACACACACATCCCAAGTCTGTTCAAATAGAAGCTCCAGTTCATTGTCAGCCAATGAAATAAAGCAATAGCTGGTTAAGACAACTACCAAATCCCTGCCTCTGTGTACAACTTGTCATATTCGCTTACCCTCTGCCTGCTGCCCACCCTTCCTTCTTCAGGCACGCGTGAACAAGCTTATGAATCAGCCCTCCAAAAGGACCACCGAGGACCTTTAAGGACCGGAGTGGATGGAGCTCGCCTCCTGAAGCAATGCAGCATCCATCCAAGGGAGCTGTTCCCCGTGCCTACACACGCAAGAAGTCACAGAGGGGGATAAAGTTTGATTTTCCTTCTTGCCCATTCCCAAACGGCCAAAAGAGGACAAGAGAGCGACCCCGCTAGGGTCCTGGGTTGCTCTCCGGGGACAGTTCCCAGAAGCATGGCACTGCCACTCTCCTGACACATACACAAGGCAGCCGCGGCAACTCAGGACACCCAAACCCGCCCAGAGGAGGAGGTAAAGGGGACAAGTTGCACGGGGCTCAGTTTGGGAACTAAGGGGCAGAGCTGTAAAGATAGAAGGAGGGAGGGACCGAGATCGGGGGCGGGTCAGTGAGAGGTTCAAGTCCCGTGCCTTCCCCGCCCTGGTGTCCCCAGTCCTGCGGGAACATCCCGCCGTCGCCCCTCCTCCTCCTCCTTCTCCTCCTCTCGGCTTCCTCCGCTCTCCCTCCCTTCCTGGTCGCCGCCGCAGGCGCCTGAAGGGCACGGCGGCTCCTCGGTGCCCGGCAACCTCGGGAGCGGCCGCGAGTTCAGGTAACTCGCCCGCTGCCCCGGCGGCCTGCCTGCCGGAGGCTCCCACACGCCAGCGCCGCCCCGCCCTCCCCGGAGCCGCCGGGCGCGCTCACTCACCGTCCGGTGGTGCTGCTGCTGCCGGTGGCGGCTGACGCTCAGCCCGGGGAAGCAGCCAGCAGTCAGCGCTCCGCAGCCGCCGGCGCCCCCGCCGCCGCCCCGGGAGGAAAGGAGCAGCAGGAGCGATCTACCTGCGGCGGCCGCCATCTCTCAACTGGAAACGGCGCCGACCCAGGCAGCGCAGCGGACGGCCGGGGCGGAGCTAAGACCCGCCACTCACCGGCGCCAAGCCAACTGCAGCCCTTGACTGAATTGATGAGGCGGGGCTTCCTGCAAGGTCCAATCCACAGGCGGGAGAACCACACTTGAGGCTGCCTGTCACTTCCAGAGTTATCTATTGTGGGACATAGTCAATTACGGGCAAATTCTAGGGAGCTGGTAATTGGCATCCGAGCCCCTCAGAATAGCAGCAATAGATATGGCACATTCGATTAGGCTAATCTGCACCAAGGAAACAGATTATTTGTGCAAAGCTTTGTACTTCGTGAGTGTTCTAAGTTGGCAAAATAGGTACCAAATTAATAATCATTAACTAGGTATGCTTGGAATTCTCAACGACACGCCCAGAATTATCATTCGTAACTGGTGGCATTTGGATATGCTGAAATGAAAACCCTATATCGTGGGGTGATCAATGACTGTGATAAGTAACATAGTATAGGAGGGGTAGAATGATTATGATTTGGAAGTCCCAGAATGAGTACATGCCATCAGAGTGAATTAAATACCCATACACATTTCAAATACTCAATTCATTTTTACAGCACCTTTATACTGATATTCTTACACTCTCCAGAAGCAACACTATTTTCTTACCACCTTTGACCTTGTGTGCACTTATTAAACTATAGAAACAGAACATATTAGTAATGTAATAAAAATCATGTAAAGGTTATTTTGATGACTTTTTATAATATAGCTAAACTAGGCATTAGAATAAACTTTGGAATAAGTCTTGATCCTTTTCTCTTGAAAAATACTTCTTTTCACAAGAAACGAGCTCATATTGAGAGCTTATTAAAGACTGAAAAAAAGAAGTTTTGGAGTTCCTGAATTTCCTCAGAAGAAGATTTCCTTGTTGTCTATTATTATGAGTTAGTTAATTCTCACACCTCCTTTTAAAATCCGGGTTGAAACAATTTGGTAAGCAAATAAAAGTATTATTCTGAATTTTGGAAAACATTCTTGTAGCCTTAGGTGATAAACAAAAATGCACAAGGACAATTTTATTGTATCATTTTTTCTAATAACATTCTTTAAAGTTGACTGAGATTACTCTAGAGATACTAAATTAATCAGCAAAGTAATCAGAAAAAAAAACTTAAAAACATCATAACTTTTGAAAGTAAAAAGTTGAAGAAAACTTAAATATCTTCCAGTAGGGAATTGGTTAAAATAGAGAATAACTTCATATTCAGAGCTGGCCAAGAATAGCTAAATAATGAAGTGGAGGTTTTGATTTGTTTAATCCTTCCACCCCACCCCAGAACAGTAGGATGACTGGCTTCTCTAGGAGTGACTATCATGCCACTAATCCAAAAAGCATTTATTACCCAACAGTGGAACCTGAGAGCTCAGGAATGAGGTGAGCCCCCGATTCAACAGCTGCACACACTAATCCCCCTACTTGGAAATCTATGACTTTCCTGGGACAACTTAACTTACAGTCAGTCTCCACCCATCTATATTTATCCCATCTGTATTTTATATATTAACCCATGCAATGCCATTTCCCCTTCTCATTCCTTCAAACCTTCTTACTAGGATTACCATGGATTTTAGTTTTGATTTTATTTTCTCTGCCTTCACCAAATCTGACTATGAATCAGAATTGTGCCCTCCATCTCCATCTCACACTTTGAGAAATTCTACTGGAATTGCCTTTCTTCTACTTTCCCAAGTACAAAAATTAGATGTGTATTCTGCAGTACTGAGATTTAGTTCTGTGCATTTGCAAAAGAATCACGATAGAGTTTTTTTTAAGTGCATAGCCCTGAAACTGCAGGGATTACCAAAACTTTCTTCTTATCTGTTTACTAAAATGTGTCATCTTTTATCTACCAAGATAAAACCACTGATAAACCACAGGTAGGCTGTGTAATTCAAGGATCTATTGACGAAACTGAGTTCTAATAATCCAGGGCTAGAAATTAATCTAAACAAATGTCAATTATCTCTTCAAGAAAAGATCTTGTCCATAGCTACAAAGGACATATCTCATGTCAGCTGATTGGCCAGGCCCCAGAAGGAGAGTATAGGTAGCTCAACAGAAAGTTATCCTCATAACTGAAAAAATTTTATATGAAGGGAAATTATATATGAAGGGAAAGGGAATTAATAATCATTGGCTACCTGCTATGTCAGACATTGCTGATCTCTCTAGAGATATTAAATTTATAAGTGATGGCAAAGTAATCAGAAAAAACATCATAACTTTTGAAAGTGAAAAGTTGAAGAAAACAAATGTTTTCCAATTGGGAACTAGTTAAATTAGAGAATAACTTTATAACAGACCGTTATGCAACCATTAAAAAATGAATTGTCAAATACTGCAATAACTATATATGGTATCAGATGAGTTATTGAGACTTATTGAGAAGATCACATCACAAGTTATACGAATGTATAATCATTATGTTACAATCCTGAAATTAATATTATATTGTATGTCAACTGTAATTAAAAATTAAAAATAAAATAAAAAGAATTATCTCATCTATACTTTTTTAAAAGTAATAATATAGTATACATGATTCTTTTAAAAGTTTTTCATACACACATATAATTTAGACAGATAGTGATTTCTGGAAGAATACACAAGAAAATATGTTAACTCTGGAGAGTTTTAAGAAATAGCTACCCTTTTGACTGGTTTAACTTTTTCCCACCTGTATGTTATTTTTATAATTGTAAAAACATGATCACTGAAACCTACATGGCTCCAGAATTGTTTTCTGTGCCAATCTTTAAAACAGGTTGATCTTTTTTTTTTTTTTTCCAGCTAAAACTAATCAGAACAGATTTCCTGGAGCATGACATCCTAACTAGGTTCCCTTTTAAAATATACACTGAAGTCAGCTCCCAAGTATGACCTAACGGCTGCAGAATTGTTTTCTGTGCCAATCTTTAAAACAGGTTCTTTTTTTTTTTTTTTCCAGCTAAAACTAATCAGAACAGATTTCCTGGAGCATGACATCCTAACTAGGTTCCCTTTTAAAATATACACTGAAGTCAGCTCCCAAGTATGACCTAACTCAATAGAGTATTTGCCTAAGCATTCCAGAATAACCAGGGTAGGTGATGCACACAATTCACTGACATGAGCAAGGAAACATGAAAAGGATCTACTTAGAGGTCTGTGTTTCATGGTTCACTGATAATGTGAATTATTATCCAAATGAGATCAGCAATTCTTAAAGATCAGAAAAAAATATTTGAAGACTTCAAATATTTATCATGAACCATGGCCTACATCTGCTCTCTAGCGATTTGGCTTCACTATTTTTCCAGATGTCATTATTCTGTTTCTCTACACCTACCATCTACAGTCATCTCCCCAAAACTACCACTCGCTTTCCCATGATTTCCTAGTTTTTATGATCATTTAAGTCCTTTATCTGTCAGCTTCTACATAGCAAATATTTTTAGTAAATGTAGTGGCGAAGGGCTCAACTACTCTTAAACCTCATCACACATCTTTTCCTATCTATATCTGAAGCTAGTCTCGCTTCCTTGCGTACACACACACACATACACACACACACACAATTATTTTCCTTCCCCATTTTAGTTTCTCGCCTTTTCTTCTCCCAATGCTCCCATACTCCTTACTCTAATACAGGCTGCAACCTCACACTGGATTATTTATATACTTGACACACGTAATTTACTAGATATATTTACATACTCCCTTCAAATTTTCGTGTGGCAGTAATCTCATTCCCTGGCCTTCAAAGGATGACTGACTCTATGTTCATTTTATAACTCAGTGACCCTGCCATTTAACATTCGTTTAGGTCAGGAACATACAATCTGCAAGTTTTGTTTTGTTTTGTTTTGCTTTTTTCTGTCAAGAGCACAACATCAAGAAAACACTGAGTTGAGAAGAGCAGGACTTGTTCAAATAGCACTGTCTTTGTTCACATTGCTCAGAATCTGAGAGACTGGCAGCAACCTTTAACGCTCTACTTTTTGTGTTGGATTTGCTTGCCTCGTATGGCCTTTGCTATTTACTAGATCTCTGGAGTCAGGAAGTCTTTTGTCTCTATCTAAGGTGATTCAGAGAGGCAGGACACTAATTTTGCATTCAAACCGCACCTCCTAAATGCATAGGAATTCAGTACATATTCTTACGGAAACCAACATCATTCATTCCAGAGTATTCAAAAGTGCCAAAAAATCCTAAGAACTTTATCTGACAAGGCTGAATTATAACAAAATGCCAAACCAGTAAAGTGCTGTCCTCTCTGCTCTCTCAGCACTCTCCAGATATTTATTACTCATACCCTAAACATACCCTGACCTTCCAACCTTCAACTCTTTGCTCCTACTGTCCCTGTTCTGCTCTTTTGAAGACCAGCTTGGCCTCCTCTGAGACTGAATGTCCATGTAAAATTAAACTCTCATAATCTTTTATTTGACTTTCTATCATAGTACTTTTGGTATTTGATGTGTGCTGAGCTGACAATGAGGTCTGCCGTAACTCTTTATCATACCTATTCGGTTAGGCTAATATGGCTGGCCACAGTCCCCTTCTTTCACCTTCTATGTGTATTTTCTAGCAAAATTATTTATGTTACTATCTTTCTCCTACAGAGATCTTCCAGGTTAGAGTTGCAGATCTTGCAAATTAATTTAAGCTAACTCTTTAGATGATGACAAGTACTTCTTGGATTGCCTCTTTTATACAACATTTACATTTATAGGAGCCTCCAACACTGATAGCCAAAATAATTTCACAAAATATAGCAGGTCTAAAAAAATTATTTTTAGAGTGAGACATTCCATTAATTGTCTTCAAAAATTCATCAAATACCTAGCCATTTTAGCCTGCTTACTTCAAGGTCAGATACATCTTTATATTATGCTGGACATTGCCCAAATTTCAACTCCTCTGAAACTGATTTAGTTCAAATGCTATATTTTTTCTCCATTTTGATATGA